AAACCTCCTTCTTCTCCACCGGCCGCCGCCACCGCGGCCGCCACCTCCGCCGCCGGCCGCCGAAAAATGTGCTCCGATCAGATAATCGTTTACATCATCGGATTGATCTCCTCAAGGTGAATCTACCCTTAAAATTTCATGCAAAAATTCCTTCGGGAAGACCTTCAATTTCGTGGTCAAAGGTTCCAGATCTAGGGAAAAACCGGTCAAAATTGAACATTCAAATGTATTTTCCCGACGATCCGGGAGGGCTATAGAAAATCCAAGGGTACCACCGGAACCCTCTCGACGAGACGAATCTCCAGCTACCGACCTTCGTCGGAAACCGCCACCTCCGCCACCGTCCGCCGCCGGTCAAAGTCGTCCGATCTGAAAATTTCTTACATCAACGTGAAGCTCTCGTCATGCTTGTTCTACCTTTAAAATATCAAGCAAAAATTCTTACGGGAAGACCGTCAATTGTCCGGTCAAAGTTTGTGGATCTAAGAACAAATTAGTCAAAATCCCAGGATTTTCTCCATTTTCGTGTTTATTTCTGGCGAATCGCTGCAAAAGGAAGAGACCATGGCAATCGCCTTGTCGAGGCGCTCATATTACTGGTCGTTTTCACCAGAACTGGCGAGGTTTTGCCGGTGAAGAAGTTTCCGGCGCATTTCAGTCGTTGTTCACGCAGATACCAGCCACGCGCGCGATGGAGTCCAGTGCAGTAGTTTTTGGTCCAGGTGAGCTCGCCCCCTCCAGCCCAGCGTGGAGGCCCGCGTTCCGCAGCCCAGGAGTAGGCCAGCACGGCCCATTTATGCACGACCCAAGAGCAGTTGATCTTGGCCCGACGGAGAAGCCCAGCAAGAAGACCTTCAGCCCAGCAACAATGCGTGCGAGCCGCGCCCAGCCCGCGCAGCCCGCTTATCTCACAGGAGTTGGCCCGCCCTCAACCCGCGCGCCCAACCCGCTTACCGCACAGCTACAGTCCGCGTTTCGGCCCGCGTTGGGCAGCCCTTCTCCAGCAAGTCTTGGCCCACGTGCGGCCCACTTCTCCCCAGCTCCTACCAAGCCAAAAGCCCCGACCAAGTAACTCCTACGCGGCCCATTAAGCACCCAAATCGCCTCCAGACCAGCCCAAATGGTCCAGCAGCATCCAAACCTGTCCAACTTGGTCCAAGAGCATCATTTGATGCCCAAAACTAATTCGGGATGATTAAAAGCAAACAAGAAAGTAATTTGGAATAGCATTCTCATGTGGGAGGTATGGAGTTAATTAAATTATGGATCGGATGATTTTTAAAATGGAGGAATTGTTTGACCTACTTGAGATGATAATTTGATTTTATCCATGGAGCTTATTTAATTTATTCGTGAGGATTATTTGACTAATTTGTGGAGCATTATTTGATTTGGTCGAGGGGAATTATTTGACTCGTTCGAGGAGATTATTTAATTTAGTCGTGGAATCATTTGTTTTATTCGTGGAGAAAATACTTGACTTGATCGTGAAAATATTGATTTATTCATGGAGGATTATTTGCTTTGCTCGTGTTGGATTACATGGTTTATTAATAGAGGATTATTTGAATTATTCGTGGATAATTATGTGATTTATCTTTGGATGATTATTTGATTTGGTCGAGCGATTATCGGATCTATTTGATGATTATTTGATTTGCTCGAGCAATTATTGGATTTATTTGTGGATATATTTGATTTTCTTGAGCGATTATTGGATGTATTTGTGGATGATTATTTGATTTGCTCGAGCGATTATCTAATTTATGTGTGGATGAGTATTTTATTTATCCGAGGAGATTATTCGATTTATTCGAGGAGATAATATTCGCTTTATTCTTATTATATGATTTATTCGTGGAGAATAGTTCATTTGATCGAAGAATTTTTGGATTTATTTGTGGATGATTATTTGGTTTGCTCGAGATATTATTTGATTTGTCGTGGAATTATTTGCTTTGTTCGAGGAAATAAATGTGGGTCATGATTTTGGATTGAGGATATTTTATAATTGTGTTTGGCATGTGTTTGGTGCATCTATCAATTTCCCATGGGTAATATCTGTCATTGCTCGAGCATGTCTTAAATTCGAGGAAATGGTAATATTGGCATTCGATATATTCTTTTTCTTGCGTGAGATTGCAAACTAGAGGATGTGGATAAAATATGACTAATGAGATTTGTTGAGTGCTTGCTGAGAAAAACACAGAAGCATATGGACTGGATATTTAGATACGACACACACTGCCTGGTTGCAAAAAAGAAATGGACAACCGTTCGATAACTTCGAGCGCAGGTCGTCATGTTCAAACATGAAAGGGAGGTCGAATAATATGCTT